AGCATAGAGTTAGTCACAGTACGCCAGGTTTGGAAAGATTGTATCCATCCATGAATAAACAAAAGGGTGAGTCCAGGAAGTGGCCCCCGCCCCTCAGCACTCCCTGACCCCCACTCAGGGTATGTTTGGGGCCCAGCAGGGCCAGCCCTGGAGTCCAACCGCCTGGATTTCCCTTCTCTTTCCAACCTGAATATCTGTAGCCGCTGTCTCTAGTAAATGGGTGTATCAACAGCAACCACTGAGCAGCACTGCGATGAGGATCACAAAGCGTACTTTGTAAACTCCAAGGCCTCATCACTGGGAAGTTCCCATACTCTCAGACTTGCAATTTATAAATTCTCAAGAATGCAAATTCAAGGTCCAGACCAAAGGCGCTTCGAATGGCCCCCAATGCCACCAATGGGTGTTCTCAACCACTATCTACCCTTTACGTCTCAATGCCTTTGGTGCTCACTGGTCTCGAGCAGGGGTTCTGGAAGCATCTGGGAACTTGCTAGAAATGCAGATTCTCAGGCTCTCCCCCAAACCTCCAGAGTCAGAAACTCTGGGGTTGGCACAGCATTCTGTGTGGGGTTTTTGGTTTGCTTTCTTGTGTTTTGCTTTTCAGTTTCAGTAATCCGTGTTCTAACATGCCCTCCAGGGGACTCTGACTCTGGCTTCGTGTTTGAGAGCCCTAGGTTCTCGAAAGTCACAGGGCATTTCCCACGCTCGTGCTCACTTTTGACGTGCTTTGAAAACATGGCAACTGGAGCGAGCAGAAGAGAAGAGATAAACATTATGGAAGTGAAAGCTGAGATCATTTTACAAGATCAATAAGAGAGAACATGGCAAATGCTGCTGCACGCTGGTGTGGGCTGAGTCATTCAATGGCAGGAGCGATTCCGAAACACGAGTCAGTGTCTGGGATGCAGTGCCTGGGAGACTCAGCATTCAAAGAAATGGCCCTGGCCAGGTAGCTCAGATGGTTAGAGCATCATCCTGATATGCCGAGGTTGAGAGTTCAATCCCCAGTCAAGACACTAAAAAGAATCAACCAATGAATGCATAAATAAGTAGAACAACAAATTGATTCTCTCTCTCTCTCTCTTTTCCCCCTTCCTCTCTCTCCCTAAAATCAATAAATACAATTTTGAAAAAAAAATCAAATCAGCATCAACAGTGGAAACTCATTGGCTTCATGGAAATTCGGAGAATGCTGTGCATCTGTGTGTTATGCTGGGGTTCAGGGGGCCACAGTGGCCGCCAGTTAGGGATGTTTTCATAGGGTGACGGCTCATCTGGGTCTACAGGCCCAGATGTTGATGCTTTGGCCTATTTAGATAAGATAGCACTAACCAGTGTTCCCAAACCAGACCACAGGCGTTAGCTAACCAAAAGCTTTCCCACACAGATGAAACTGCTCTGTTTTGGAATAAAAGGAGAAGCCTGGGAGACAGTACATTAGCAAGGAGAAATTATGTCAGGTTTTAAAGCTTCGAAGGACCAAATCACATTTCTACTTACAAGGCGAAAATCCAAGGAGTAACTTTGGATCTATCCCCAGTGGATCTATGAACCATCGCTTACAACCATCCGTCCACAGGACATGTACATCCATAGCAGCTAAAATTCAGCATATAAAATGCATAACCCCCACCCTGTCTCCTGAGATCTGATTCATTCATCTGGGGTGGTTCCCATTTTTAACAAGCTCCCCAAGGGATACCGAGGCAGATGGTCCTGGACCACAGGGCTGTTGTCATGATGGGGGAAGAAGAATGGGAATCAAGAGCAGGACTGAGTCGCTACACACTGCTGGGGAAATGCAGTCTGAAACCAAAACACACCCTCAGGGGCCCTGCTTTAGCACTTGTTCCCACAGCACAGATCAGGGAAGTCAGCAGTAAATGAGTAACGTGTTACATAAGTTGCTTTTCTGTATGCAGAACCTTAATCCACCAAAGAGAAGTTAAAATCATATAAAAAGCAACAGCCACCCCCAAAACAAATGCTGGGGAAGTGTAGCCAGGATCTCCCCATCCGCCTTCTGCCAGGCAAAGCTGAACCCTCCTCCATGCTGAAAACCTTTGAACAGCATCCTCTGGTAAAAGTGGTCAGGGAAGTGGGGGAAGGGGGGACCTTCAGGGTTCCACACCAGCAATGACACTGGCCTCATCAAGGCTTCCCTCTAAGCAGAACCATGTGCTTGCATTGACTATACCTCTGACCCCTTGCTGAAAACTTCCAGAATCACAAAATGCCCTCTGTTTGGGTCTTGTCCAAGAACCCCAATCTCTCTCTCTGGAAAAGATTCCCAGTCTTTTATTCTCTCCAGTCACCCTAACACCTGAACAGTAAGCTAGTTCTCACTAGAGTGTTAAAGGCTGACAGGGTTGGGGCAATGATCATTCCTGTGACCACAGAAGTTGTCAGGGTGGGTATGGCAAAGGCGTGCCATGTATATAACATATGTGTCATTCCCTCTAATGAGCCATCCTTGGGAGTTTTCTCAACACTGACCTAGAGATAGTCACTCTGAACTTATTGTAAAATATATTTTAAGATTCAGAGGCATAAGTCCTTACCTATCTTTTTGATTATGAGACTCCAAGCAGCTAACACAGTGACCAACCCTTAGAAGTTGTTGTTTTGTATTTTTTTTAAAGATTTGATTAAAATTGACACTGGATGTAAAACTTCATTGTCACGCCCATACTGCCACAGTGCATGTCTCAAAATGCACTACAGTCACCCAGTGTGCTCATTAAAAACCCATCTTCTGAGCTCCACTCCAGATGCAGGAAATCCAACTCTACGGGAGCTGCATTTTTAACAGGGAGCCAGGTAATCTTACACAAGGGCAACCTGAGAACCACTGCTTCAGCCTGAGGACCCCAATGCTACGGGATGTGATTAAACAGGGCCCTTCAGGAACACCCCAAACACAGACAGGCAGCTTCCTCCTCTCCACTCAGGCATGGGCCCGAGTGGAATAAAGAACACGGGAAAAAATGAGGCCAACGAGAGATCAGAGGTGAGAAAGGTCTGGAGAAGCACTCTGGAACTAAGGTGGGAAGTGAGTAAGGACACCACCGATCCAAGCAGGCTTGTCCTTGCCTACTTCCCCCAACGTGGGGCAGCATGCCCCATCATGATGAACTGGGGGCCACCAGCAAGGGCCCAGGACGCAGCGCCAACAGCAGGCAGCACTGCCCGACTTTGGAAAGTTGCAGGGAACAAGAGGTGCGCCTGCGTCCAGACTTCTCCCCTGCTTCTCTCCTTCAGGCTGCAGTCTGGCAGCTAAAGTGAGCAAATAAACCATCCTCCCTCAGGCTTTGCCTCTCACTCTGCAGCCACATTTTGAGCAGGACGAGGCGATTCTACTAGCCAAGGTACAGGGAATCATGCCCAGGTATCTTCCCCTGCACCCCAGGAGCCCCAGAAGCTCCCTAAGCCAGCCACCCTCCCCAGGGGTTCCTCTACTGCCAGCAGTTGTCACAAGAGCGTCAAACACGGGTGTTTGTGCCAGGCCTCATTTACACAAGCCCACTCCTCCCAGAGAGATGAATTTTTAAAACAAACAGCCTTTACATATGGTAGCAGGCAGACTCATGTCAGCATCAGGGATCCCCAGACGGAAAAGGGAATCAATCTGGGGCAGAGACTGCTAAATAAATCCTGTCTGGGTGAAATTCCTCTGGAGAAAGAGGAGCCTCAAAGCGGATTGCTCAGATTCCCCGGCAAGGTTCCCCCCAGCGGGAGGCGCTCAGAGCACTGAGAACTCGGAAAGCGCAGTGTACTGTGCAGCCGCCCCCATCACCCCGGCCCTCGGGAGCTCTTCCGGCCCGCTCCCCAGCACCCGGGTGTCCCTGTTCCCACACACACCCGGGTTCCGTCGATGCCCCTCCTGTTGGGCACAGGTTCTCCACACCCGCACAGGTGATGTCCCAAGGCTTAGGGTTCCAGCAGCTAAAGAGAAAAATGCCACCACGTACCCAAGTAAAACCACACAGGTATCCAAGAAATGGGGGAGTGCACACAGAGGGTGCAGACAGCCAACCTGGAAGATTCGGCCACAAGGACTCGGTCAAGGAGCAATATGCTACAGGACAAATGTCAGGGTTAGGGACTTGAATTACCTGGGTCATTGCTTCCTCTCTCCTTAATTTTGCTCGGGGGGGGGGGGAGGGAATTCTATCATCTTTGCTCTGTTGCTTCCAGGATGGAGTAAGGAGGCAGGTGCCAATGAAAAGGATTAGCACAGGATGGGGACAGGGCAGCATTTAGGACCTGACAAAGACACGGGGCCACATCAGGCAAATTAGCTACAGGTGAGGGGCAAGAGGCTCCAGCTTACAAATGGGTGAGGGGAATTGCAAGTCCAGACTGGTTGTGAGGAGGATGGGCCTCAACCCAGACCTCGCCTCCATAAGGCATCAGTACGGGGGATGCAGCAGCCCCACACTCTGGCCTCCTTGTCACCCCACCCTGCAGAGCTCACTCCCGGCTGTGGGGTCAGCTGCTTGGACTGGGGTGTGGAGGTCCAGGCAGACGCAAGGGTGCCAGTGACTTAGTTGTGTGGCTTTGAGGGGGGCAGCCCAGGAAACTGAAGGCAAGGACTCTGAGAGGTACACGCTGCCCGCAAAAGGCACTGGCCCTCTGGGGACATAAGTCTCGGATCCTGGTGGGTGAGGGCTTTGAGCTGCCCTCACAGGAGAAGTTCTAGGGTGGTTACCATGGCCTTGGGTGCTTTCAAGTGCAGTCGGGAATTTTGTATCCATCCCAGGCCTTGGCTGGAGCATCAGTGGCTTCCCTGCCCTCCCACACGAATGGGTGTCTGTAACCACTGTAGGCACATGGCCAAGTCCATATGACCCTAGGTGAGAGAGACAAAGGGAGAGTTCTAGCCTAGCTAAAAGTCAGCGTTGGGGTGGGAGTCTTGTGTATCTCCCTAGGCTGCACACAAAGCCCCCCATCCACCATGGCCAGAGCCAAATGCAAGAGAAAGACAAGCCACGTACCGAGCCCGTTCTCTGCCAGTGCTGCGTGGCTGACATCACACTCGCCCAGGTCTTGCTCTCCAACATCATTCAAATCCAAGCCAGGCTGGTGGGACCCGTTTCCAAACTGCCTCTCATCCTTCTCGGACCCGGTGTCCCCATTTTCCATCCCATTCTGAGCCTTTTTCAGGGGCATTATTTGCAAACCACTGGGAGTAGTCCTATAAGACACGGTCTTGGCGGCCCGGTCACCTCCCGCAGGGGGCTTGGCTGGGTACCCTTTCTTGGGCTTGGACAGGGAAGGGTTGATTCGCTTCCGTTTATGAGAAGTGCTTTTGCTCTTTCCAGATTCTGAAGGTCTGGTGGAGAGTTTCTCCACCGACGGGCCTCGGCTGTCACGCAGGAGCTTGGAGGTGCTGACCTGCTTCCCTGACTTGATCCGCTTGTCCTTGGATACATGCAGCCCATTGAACTCGTCGATGAACTCCTCACAGTGCAGCAGATGGTGCTCTGGCTCCCACGTGTCCTCCGTGCTCCCATAGCCTTTCCATCGGATTAGATACTCCCATTTTCCTTTCTTGTTCTTCCTCTTGTCTACAATCCTTTCCACCTGGGATACAAGAGGAGAGTCAGGAAAGAGAGAAAAGAAAAGCGTCAGTCCCAGACAACGAGAACAACAAGAAAGCCCCCAGGACAGAAGCACCGCCCTGGGTATGGGATGAGCTTTTCACTGAGCAGGACACTTCCAGGAGCGTTTGAAATGACTGGTTTACTTCAGGACATCACTGAATGGAACCCAAGGAACATGGTCATGTCCCATGATGACTTTGTGATGCTCTGCCTGGCTGGTGGCACCTGTCTGTCCATGCAAGGCTTACTCTTGCTTGAAATCACACTGCAAGTTTTCACTAAAGATCTTCATTCCTGTCATTGTACCAAAGTAGAATCAGACTTGTAAAGACCAAGTTGGTGTTGGTTTTTCACCCCTACTTATAATGATAATAATAATATGTAATAACATTTACTGAGCATTCATGTGGTGGGCACTATGCTGTTGTATCCTTACTGTAAATAATACTAATGACTAGTAACATTCATTGGGCACACTTGAGGCAGACATTCTACTAAATGCTGGGCCTGAATGTCCCCATTTCCTTTTCCCCTGACGACAACCCGATGCAGGAAATAATCTTTCTGTCCCCACTTTACAGGGAGGAAACTTGGGCTCAGAGATTAAGATGATCAATCAAGTTCCAAGCTGGTAAGGGCAGAGCTGGGACTGGAACCACTCTCCCCCGAGATTTTTCTTCACCATTAGACCATGGCCTCTCTCATGACAAATATCTTTCCTATTGGTCAAAAATGACTTGAATGACACAGCCCAATTTCCCGCCATCCTGAGCCCCAAGCTGTAACACAGGGGCTGTAACTGTGAAGCAAGGTAATAATTAATAATTGGTGGAGATCCTATTATGTGCCTTGCATAACCCCACAGGGTGTACACTACTCTGACTCCCATTTGATAGATGAAGGGCCTGAGGATGAGGCAAGTTGCCTACAGTGCAGAGCTAAGAGGTGGTGGGGGTGACATCTGAACCCAAATCCATCTGGTTGGAAAGCCATGTGCTATTGTCTTTGTACCTTCACATATAAGAAAATTTCCTGAGACTTCCAGCCAAGATGGAGTTGTAGGTAGACACACTGTGCCTCCTCACACAACCAAAAGAAGGACAACAACAATTTAGAAACAAAAAACAGAACTGACAGAAAATGAAACTGTATGGAAGTCCGACAACCAAGGAGTTAAAGAAGACGCACTCATCCGGACCAGTAGGAGGGGCAGAGACAGGCATGTAGAGAGGACTCGCGGCGAGGTGGTGGCTGGAAGACCCTGGCAGACAAGGTGGTGGCTGGTGAACCCAGTGAAATGGTGGATTGTGGAGCGGGGCATGCAAGGCTGTAGCTGGCCAGCAAGGCTATGGTAGTGGCTGGTGGAGCAGGTGGACCCACATTCATGCATAGATATACCAGGAGAAACAACTGGAGAGCAAGACGGACCTCGCAACCCGGGACCCCAGCATGGGGAAATAAAGCCTCAAACCTCTGATTGAAAACACCTGTGGGGATTGAGGTGGCAGGAGAAACTCCCAGCCTCACAGAAGAGTTTGCTGCAGAGACCCGCAGGGTCCTACAATGTACACAAACCTGCCCCACACGAGAATCAGCACCAGAAGGGCCCAATTTGCTTGTGGGAAGTGACAGAAATCTGGCAGAGAGCAGAGCAAGCACCACTGTCCCCTCTCGGACTTCGCCCCCACATACAGTGTCACAACCCAGAAACCTGGGTTGCCCCACCCTGGTGAACACCTAAGGCTCCACCCCTTACTATGTAACATGCCCATCAAGACAAAAAAAAAAATGGCCCAAACAAATGAATAGATCAAAGATAAAAAAATACAACTAAATGACAAAGAGATAATCAACCTATCAGATGCACAGTTCAAAACACTTGTAATCAGGATGCTCACAGAATTAGTTGAATTTGGTCACAAATTGGATGAACAAATAAAGGCTACACAAAGTGAAATAAAGGAACCAATAGTGCTGTGAAGGAAACTGGGACTCAAATCAATGGTTTGGACCAGAAGGAAGAAATAAACATCTGATCAGAAAAGAATGAAGAAACAAGAATTCAAAAAAATGAGGAGAGGCTGGGGAACCTCCAGGACATCTTTCAACGTTCCAACATCTGAATTATAGGGGTACCAGAAAGAGAAGAAGAGGGACAAGTGAAAAAGTTATCTGAACAAATAATAAAGAAGAGCTTCCCCAACCTGGCAAAGGAAATAGACTTCCAGGAAGTCCAGGAAGCTCAGAAAGTCCCAAGGAAGTTGTATCCTAGAAGGAACACACCAAGGCACATCATAATTACATTAACCCAAGATTAAAATGAAGGAGAGAATCCTAGAAGCAGCAAGAGATAAGGAGACAGTCACCTACAAATGAGTTCCCATGAGACTCTTAGCTGATTTCTCAAAAGAGACCTTACAGGCAAGAAGGGGCTGGAAAGAAGTATTCCAGGTCATGAAAGGCAAGGACCTACATCCCAGATTCTCTATCCAGCAAAGCTTTCATTTAGAATGGAAGGGCAGATAAAGTGCTTCTCAGATAAGATCAAGTTGAAGGAGTTCATCATTACCAAGCCCTTATTATATAAAATGTTAAAGGGATCTATCTAAGAAAAAGAAGATAAAAAACATGAACAGTAAAATGACAGCAAACTCACTCTTATTAACAACCACACCTAAAACAAAAACAAAAGCAAACTAAGCAAACAACTACAATAGGAGCAGAACCACAGAAATGGAGATCACATGGAGGGTTATCAACAGGGGAGTGGGAAAGGGAAAGAGGGGGAAAAGGTACGGAGAGTAAGTAGCATAAATGGTAGGTAGAAAATAGACGGGGGGGGGGGTAAGAATAGTATAGGAAATGTAGAAGCCAAAGAACTTACATGTACGACCCATGGACATGAACCAAAGGGTGGGAATGTGGGTGGGAGGGGGTGTGCTGGGCAGAGGAGAATGAAGGGGGGGAAAAGGGACAACTGTAATAGCATAATCAATAACATATATTTTTTAAAAAAGAAAATTTCCCCTGTCTTCGAGTAGTCCCATGGAAAAACACACCTAGGAAAATGCCAGTCCTAATGCTAATAACCAGTGTATTTAGGGGAAAGGTATATGGGGGTCCACATATTAAACTTTAAGCTTTGCTTTGGCTTTAAATTTTTTATTGTAAAGAAATGAGAGAAAATGCCAATGCTCTACCTCAAAAAATCTAAAATTCAATGAAAATGTATAAACAATTACATTAAAAAGTTCTTTATAGTTCCATGTCAACATAACAGACTTTTCTAGAGTGGGATTTTGACCTGAGGACGTTAGGCAATATGTGAGGAGTGCACCCTTACTTAACCCTCAAAACGTATGGAAAGAAAAAATAATGTGAGCGAGAGAAGTGGGTGCAGTTATTGTTAGTAATTGCCGCAAGTGGGTAGTGGGTACATGGAAGTTCATTATATGACTGCTCATGTTTACATGTTTACATTTTTATGCTTAATTTTGCCATAATAAAAACATATTTCCAAAACTACCACAACAGAGGCTATGCAAAGTAACTAAATGACTTGCATTGCTTTGCACTTAGTAAACATGTAAACAGCCAAGCCACCCTACCTCTTTATAATACTGCTTCTTCAGAGACAATTTTAACTGTTTCCTCAACTGATTTTCTCAAATCAAACCACCCTGTTTCTATTAACATTTCTTTCCTTTTAAAATGCCCTGTGAACATCTGTTTTAGATTTATTACATAATTTTTAGAAGTATCACAAAAACTCTAAGTTTTTAAAAAGTAAAATCATACCGAACTAATCCAACTTCCGATTTCTGGGTCAAGGAATGGGGCTAGCTAAGTATTCATTTATGATAATGCTTAAAATTGAGAGGGTTTCCAGAAAAGCCTGCACCTTGGCACATCTGGAGGAGGTTAAAGGGGAGAACCTCCACAGGTTTACGGAGGGAGGACGGTGAACAAGCCACCTGTCCTGCCTGAAACAGAAGCGTTCCCAAGGCCTGGATTTCTTTGGAGCTAAGGGATCTGTGTTGACATAGGGTCTTCAGCTTCCAAAAGCATATGCCTGGCTCCCAACGTGATGCAGAGAACCAAGCTAAACAAATAGCCAACACAAGGAATAAACCGGTTTGTGAGTGGGTGGGTGGGTGGGTGGATGGATAGATGGGAAAATGGATGCTTGGTAGACAGATGAAAAGATGGGAGGATAGTAGAATCAGGGATGAATAAAAGGATAGATAAAATGGAGAGACGACGGGATAGATGGGATAGATGGGATAGATGGGCGAGGGGTGAAAGAGTGGGTGGAGAGGTGAGTCCAGGGATAAATAGGTGGATGGACAGCACTCACTCATCAAAATGAGCACGGTATATAATATTTGAGAATGCAGACTATGAAGCAAGACTACGTGGCTTAAATCTTCTGCTAAGTCTTTTATCGTGTGTTCTTGAGCAAGTTACCAACCCTCTTTGGGCCTCAGATGACTCATCGAGCTGGGGAGAAGCAACAGCGAATACCTCACAGGGTGGCTGTGGAGAATATACAAATAAGTAGTTTTGCATTCCACAGTAAAGGTCACTGAATCCTGCAAATCCTCCTGTGAACACAAATCTTGGTGGTATCTAAAGACAGGCTGTTTTCCCTACCCTGCAGAATATGACCCCCTCAGAATAAGCAATTCCTCCCTGGGAAGAAGACAAAGTCCAGCTACTTCGATAAGATAAGTCCTTCCCAGCGTGGGAGACCGGGATGCAAAGGGGGGAAGCTGCTTGAGAAGCCAGGGAACTCAGCAAGGGTGCAGCGACTACATGCCTACTAGGAGCCATCCTGGGGGGGAGGAGCTTGGTATTTCCCCCTCCTCGTTACCGAAGGATTGAGTCACAGTGTCACAAGTGGCTTTATGGGTGACAGAAAGGCCACCGTTTCCACTCCTGGTCCCATTCACACATCTACTGGGTGGCTTGACAGCCCAT